AAAGCCATACTAGTAGCTAAACCGAAAATTATTAGATATTTTTAAAATATCACGTCTCTATATTTTTTTGACTAATCATTATTTATCATGTTTCATATATTCTTCAAACACTCAAGATAAAATCATAAACTCCTCATTTTTTTAACCAATTATAATATCTAAAGCTCCACCTGACCGTACTCGTGTTGCAAGAATATCCAATAACTTCCCTAATTGAATCTGTTTTATTTTATTTTATTTCTTGGGAACACTTCCCTAATTAAACATGGCCTACAATTGGATGATAGATGGGGGTGTACCAGGCAACCAAAATTAGTCAGCGTCATTGAAGCATAGCCACGGAATTGTATGGAACGGATGACCGTTTGGGCATCCGCATCATCTTCCGGGCCCCACATTCCACCCTCGCCCCCGTTCCCTCCAGACTCCATCCCAACCCCAACACCAACACCAACAACTCCAACGCCAACTCCAACTCATCTGTCCATTGTTTTCTTCCTTTGTATTCTAAACTCTTCTCTGCGTGCAGGTTCTCTCTCTCTCTCTCTACATATATATCAGAAGTAGATAGAAGGGAAGCAGTTGTGGAACATTGAGTTGAATCGGACGGCGAAGGAGAGAGAGGGAGAGAATAAGCATGGCCATTCCGGGGACGAGGACGCGCGTAGGCAAGTACGAGATCGGTAAAACCCTGGGTGAGGGTAGCTTTGCCAAGGTCAAGTACGCTAAGAACACCGAAACCGGTGACAGCGTCGCCATCAAAATCATCGACCGTGACCGTGTCCTCCGTCACAAGATTCTCTCTCTCTCTCTCTCTCTCTCTCTCTCTTGTTTAATACTCTTATAATAAGCGTATTTTTATGGAATAATCGTTCTTTTTTAATTTATCTATGACCTTATGTTTGGTAGAAAAGAATAGAAATGATTGTGTAAAAAAAAAAAATTGTAATTTCTCTCCTCTTGTTTGTTTGATTAAGCTCTACAAAAAAATAAATAAATAAAATGATACAATGTTGGTCTTTGGTCATCGGAATGAGGTATGACTTAATTATTGATTTTGGCTTGGTTATGATATTATAACTCATTGTCATTGTGATGTTATTTGGTTATAATTTAAAAAAATTTGGTTATATTATAACTCCTCTTTTTTTTTTCTTTTATATATATATATATATATATAAATTATGACTTGTAAAAGATTTAGTTATAGTTATGATTACTTGCATATGATACTATAAAGTACTACTGCTTTTTTATTAAGAATAATTTTTTGTGAATAATTTTTTTTTTTTTTTTTTTTTTTTTTTTTGGAGGGATAATTATTGATAGTTTTATTTTTTTTGTTTTCAGATTAAGAGAGAAATTTCTACGATGAAGTTGATCAAGCATCCTAATGTTTTAAAACTCATCGAGGTATCAATGCAATTCGATTTTATGCAATCACTGCAGTTTATATTTGCAGTACAATATTTTCTTATCAATGTGAATTTAAAAAGGTATGTTCATAGTTCACATAGCATATGTGCACTCCCAAAATTTATGCTCAAATAATGATCTCATTACAATGAAATGGTTCTGCAGGAACAGGACAGTTATTGATAAAATTCTCATAGTATTTTTCTAGGCTAAACCGCATTCAAGATTCGTGTGATGCCCTATTCAAAATTAACACACCTTTATTGTATAATTTGATTGTCCATAATGGTACTCCCTTATTTTAAGATCATGAAAACAAAAATAAGTTTGAGATTTTGAGGCTAAACTAAAAGTGAAATGCTTGCATTTTCAGTATGTATCTCTGGTTTATTTTATGAAATCTGAATAGTGCGCTTACTCAGGCTTGGGAAGGAACAAATCGATGTGTCAATTGAAAAAAATGCATTAATTGATATGAATGTGGATGCTTGTGACCCTTCATACTTTTTGTTTTTTTGTTTTTTTTTTAAACTGTACAATATAATCAGTTCACCAGCTTGTACTTATATTTGTCCATTTCACAAATATGATGGTTTAAGTGTTTCATGCTTTCCATGTTAATGCATCCTTTTTCTATGCTTGAAAATAGGTTATGGCAAGCAAGACAAAGATCTACATTGTGCTCGAGTATGTTGGCGGGGGCGAGCTTTTTGACAAAATAGTAAGGCATTGTTTTTTGAGCTTCTACTCTCTGAGCACCTATAATTTCATTCATAATATAATCAATTGTGTAATGCATTACATCTTAATTTAGGCATTTGCTCATGTCATGCTTACCATTTTGTTATGGTAATGTGTGTTCTATTGAGGCTCATTTATGTAAATCATGTGGGTACCGAGTCTTGTATTTGTCTAATAATATTCCCTTATTGACCCTTTTATAACTAGGCCAAACTAGGAAGACTTAAAGAGGATGAAGCTAGGAGATATTTTCAGCAGCTCATCAATGCTGTAGACTACTGCCACAGTAGAGGCATGTACCATAGAGACTTAAAGGTTTAACAAACTTTCTTACATGTTTCATTGATTAATTAATGTATTTATTCTAATTTTTTCCTATAAAAAAGAATTTATTATCTAACAGTAATTTGGTTTCTTTGGCTATCTATTCGACCATGACTTTGAAATTTGCATTACCCTGCATCTTTTGCAGCCCGAGAATCTGCTTCTAGACTCATTTGGTGTTCTCAAGGTTTCAGACTTTGGATTGAGTGCATTTTCCCAGCAAATACGGGTAAGTATTATGTGAGTTTGCAACAATTTCCTCATCTAAGAGCAGATTTTTAGCAGGTGGGTGTTAATAAATTGAACGTTAAATTTTTAAAAGTGGTTGCAGCACTGAGTCAATTTTGCAGTCTATTTGGTTTACTAAAATCACCTAGTCCAGAAACTACCTTTTCGGCCAGGAGTAGTGCCCTGCTCTGAAAGGAATTCCTTAGGAATAATGTGGCCATTAGTTTTTCTTCTGTCCTTTAGTGGTTTGTTCATTTCTTGTTTCTATTAATTTGGAAATGAACTTTTTTTTATGATTTGTGTCTTTCCTTTCCCTCTTTTTATATTAGTTTCCCCAAATCAAGGAGGCAGTTTAGTTTTATTAGTTGACTTCTTCATAAGATTTTGTATCATGCATCATCTAGATTTCAACACTTTGAAAACATTCAGTGACCATTTTTTAAGACTTGATCTAATCCACATTGAGGTTATATGATCTCAATGTCATTCAGACACACAAGTTATGGATTGCCTTAAACCTAACCCTCATTCATCAATATAAGTTAGTGTTGTGGCTTTGCTTAATCAAAGACTGACTACCTTTTTTAACTGTAGGAAGACGTGCTGCTTCACACTGCCTGTGGAACCCCAAATTATGTTGCTCCTGAGGTATCAATTATGATGTCATGGAAATGGATGGTCGCTTTGATGCAAAAAAAATTTCCTTTTCTTATTAGTTTCTTGCATTTGTGATACTTCTTTCTTTCTTTCTTTCTTTTCCCCTTTCTATCAGGTGCTCACTGATAAAGGTTATGATGGTACAGCAACTAATATATGGTCTTGTGGGGTCATTCTGTTTGTTCTTATGGCTGGATACTTACCTTTTGACGAGCCAAACCACATGGCTTTGAAAGCATTCAAGAACTTAGTTCTTCAAGTTTTTTTAATTTTTTAATATATGTAATCACAGTTAATTTTTTTTTATTAATTTCTTTGTATATATTTTTGAACATTTAACTTTCATTTATGAAATATATGACGTTATTCCATTCAATATATGGTTGTGATTCAAAATATAGTATATAGTGTGTATTACATTCTTTAAATGCGCATATAAAAATAATATTGATTATTCTTCAAATATGTCGATTTTTTTTTTATCACAGGTTTTATTAGTTATTAATCATACTTAAAAGATGTGATCTAAATGTTTTTAATCACACTTAAAAGATGTGATCTAAATGTTTTTCATCACACTTAAAATGTATGATCTAAATATTTTTAATCACACTTAAAAGAAGTGATCTAATGTGATCTAAATGTTTTTAATCACACTTAAAAAGTGTGATCTAAATGTTTTTAATCACACTTAAAAGTTGTGATCTAAATGTTTTTAATTACACTTAAAAGGTGTGATCTAAATATTATTAATCACACTTAAAAGATGTGATGAAAACATTTTTTAATGATACTTAAAAAGTGTGATTAAAAATGACCCCTTTTAATCACACTCCCAAAGACCACACTTTAATAAAACTTAAAAAGTGTGATTAAAAAACATACATCGCACAAAAAAAGTGTGATCTTTATCTGTATTTGTAGTAGTGGTTAAATTTCATATATTGTGTTAGATTGTTCCTACTAGGCTTTGGCTCACCCTATTTGAGAAAACAATTTTCAGGTGTTGGTGACATGCCTCCGCCAAGGCAATAGCTTGGAGGGACTTTTGAGAGCAAGAGCTTCTTTATTTTGTTGTATTCTTTTCTATAGCCATGGGCTTAAATTGTATTGAACTAGGCTCGCTTTTGTATAACCAAGTAATTTCTTGGAAAGATGTAAGCCTATAGGGCATATGACTATTTGTTCAGTTTCAATTCTCTTATCAGTATAACACGTTCTGTAGATTCAAGATGAATATTTGTAAATGTATATTGCATGTGTTAACTTTTGTAAATGAACTATGACTAATGAAAGCATATTATTCCTGAGAGGGTAATTTATGTATATAAATTGGGCCGAGCTGGGTAATGGGCCATTGTAAGCCACAATAAGAAGGGCGGAGTAAAAAGGGCCTTGGCATTAGCCCGGTCCCCAAAAGGCCTTGTTGTTATCCCGGTCCAAGAGAGTGTTACAGACAGCCCGGTCGTGGCATGTTGCGGTTAGCTCGGTCAAAACCTTGCTATTTCTTAGCTCGGTCTAAACACACCATGGTTTGTAGAGGAGAAGCCGAGGTAAGAGTAGTAAATGGAAGAAACCGAACTGGCTTTAGTTTGGTCTACTCTGCGGCTTAGCATAGCCATGCTTACCTCGATTATAATGGGATCCGACCATGGTAAAACCATCGCACTTGGTTTAAGCAGTGTGGGGGGTGTTGAAGGATAAGCATCATCTTTTAGGAATGTGATTCTTAAGGGGACTCTACAGGGAGGAGTTAAAGTCCTATTAGGATTGTGCCACACGGAACCTATAAAAGCTCACAACATCACCTTTGGAGGGGTAACGCAACTTTGATTCTCGAATACACAGAGCTTTTGTCTATTTGTCTATTTTACTGACTTAGGCATCAGAGAGGTATCCGGCACACACCCGCCGGCTAGCTCACGCTTGTGTTTTCAGGGAATAAAGCGACATTGTATGGAGGAGCGCAGACTTGATCAACAGGATTATACGAGAAGGTTTATTTCTTTCCCGTATAATTGACATCGTCTGTGGAAATATCAGACAAAGAACAAAACCCCTTGATCAAGTTTCCCTTGCTAATTGTATGGCACACAACAAAGATTTGCTGCAGTCCGCCATTGACGGACCAACCCCAGAGGGGGGTGGGAGGCACGAAGGATTGCCCTCCATCCCTCTCATGGTGGACTTAGAGCCCCAGCGACAAAATCCCCAGACGGATGCAAGGGGGAGGCGGAACAACAGCCCCCGTCGCTCTCGCTCACAAAGTCCTGAAAGGCAAAGGCGAAGAATCGACCCTCAAGCTCTGGAGGATCGTGTAAAAGAGCAAGATGAACTAATAAGGAAGATGGCGGCGGACATGGAGGCCATGAAGCGCCAGATCAAGGGAAAAAGGGTGGCAACAGGAGAGGGGCGCAAAGGCAATACGCCTCCTCGCCACTCAGAAGATCGTGGTGGACATACCATGCCATCACAAGCAGAGAGTAGAAGCCTCAGGACAGGTGACACTCAATCAAGGACTTCTAGAACTCGTTACTCCAGGTCTGAGAGAACGAAATCATTGAGATCTTACACTGAGGGAAGTACTTATCGGCCCTCACATACACACAAGACATCATCCAGGCAAACAGAGTTGCCTAGATCGTCCGAGTTACGGACAGTGCTTGAAGAAAGGGCGCGACAGAAGGAGGATGCCAGGGCACGTGACCCGCACAGAGTTTCAGCCCTTCAGAGGTTGGCTCCTCAGACGCATGGAAGCGTCGAGGTTGGAATGCCAATACCGCACCTTGCCTACGAACCAACAGATAAAGCATTAGCAAGACTACATAGCTCGCCGTTCGTTCCGGCGATTGAGAACGCACCATTACCCTCAGGCTTCATCCAGCTTAAATTTACCACGTACAAAGGGAAGACAGACCCTTACATGCACCTAAGCCACTTTCGCCAGGTTATGGCAGTATACCGGCAGAACGAAACTTTGATGTGCATCCTATTCCCATCCAGCCTTGGCGACCTAGGTTTAACCTAGTTCGAAAGGTTACCAGAAGGCAGCATAGCCTCCTGGGCGCAATTAGCGGAGGCATTCGTGACAAGATTCAGAATGAACACCAAGACGCTAGTGGAGATTGATCAGCTACTCTCCATTGACATGGGCGACAAAGAAACATTGCGGTCCTACAACAGTCGCTATTGGGAGACGTTCAACCAGATAGGGGATTGCCCCACCAATCTGGCCATCGCACAATACAAAAGAGGACTTCCAGTCAGAAACAGATTGAGGGATTCGATTACAATGACTCCACCCCTTATGATGGAAGCCTTGATGGAGAGAGTGCACCAACATATTCGGGTAGAGGAGGATGGCGCCCGTGCCAAGGCTAAATCTGGTGCGACAGCAACCCCAGACAAGAAGACTACGGCGAAGGTCAATACGGTAGAACGTCCAAGAAAGAACGGACGAGACAGGCGAGACAACGAAGAAGACCGAGATAAAAGATGGTTGAGAGTCTGCACTGCCATTACCACAATATTCAAGAAACCAATCTACCAAATTCTCAGTGAGATACGCGATGAACCTTTCGTCAAATGGCCAGCTAAATTGGGAGAGGCTCAGAAGGACTACGACGAAAGATCTCGATGCACCTTCCATAAGGAAAAGGGGCACCGCACTGAAAATTGCACACCGTTGAGACAGCATCTGGAGGAGTTAGTGGCAGCTGGTCACCTAGACCGGTACATAGAAGGAGGGACGCAGCCAGCCCCCCAAAACCACGACCACCCAGACGGAACACCGAACGACGCCCCACCTCAAGGCGTGATAAACGTAATACATGGGGTATTCGAGCCTGAGCGAGTATGTGAGCTCAGGGGCATGATAAAGAAGGCTGAGCACTTAAGGGAGGTATTAAGTACGCCGCCCACCATTAAAAAGGAGAAAACAGAGGCCATGAACGTCATGTCTTTTTCAAACAAGGACTTGGAAATGATATATTGCCCTCACAATGATGCACTGGTCGTCACTCTCTGCATCAAGGATTACGACGTCAAGCGAATTTTGATTGACCAAGGAAGCTCATGTGAGATAATGTACTACGAAACTTTCAAACAGTTGAAATTGAAGGACAAAGACTTGGCACCCATCGTATCTCCCCTGATCGGGTTCAACTCAATGCCAGAGTGGCCAG